TTTAATCTTTTTCGTTCAAATAGCCGTTTATAGATATCGTGATAAAATAATATAAATTTATTCATTGAAAATTTAAACAAAATAATCAAAAAATCTTATTCCGTCACGAATTGCATAATTTGCTTCCCAACTTTATATTAGTTTTATTGTAAACTGTCTACTTCTAAATGTATTGGACATGTTTAGTTTTTATCACTTGTCTATTGTGTGAATTTTTTGGTTTACATAAAAAAAATTATCAAATATGTTTGTATTTTTTAACTTGTTTTTAATAACTTATCAGTATAGGGGTTGTGGAGATTATTAAGTTTTGATTGAGATCAGGGACCGACTGATGTTAGACCACTATTGAAAACCTGAAAGCATTGGACGGCCATTTTGTCATATTGTGGGACTCTTTAGTAGTGCTCATCCACGATCGCACTCGCGGGATTCGAATACAGGGCTTTCAGTCTCGCGTAGACCAATGAGCCGGCCGGAATCCAACGGTGTTAATGTCTAACTTCAAACAATCCACGAAATTGCGCGACCATTTTCCATTGTACTGGAGTAGATACCTGTCTCTACCCGACACGGATTGACTCCACTGGTCACTTCACTGGTCCACGACCTTGTACTGATAGTTATCATGTGCTCACTAGTGACTAGCTTCGTGAGAGAATCCTTGGGTTTCTAGTGCGAAGCCATGTAGCGACTTGAGAATCTTCACAGTTGAATTCACAATTCTATCTAAACTGAACAACCATTGAAAATCTGGAAGCACTGGAAAGTCTTTTCATCCTAGTATGGGATTACTCAGAATTGCAAATCACAAGCCTGGGACTCGGACTCAGGACTTCCTCGAAAACGCTTAACCTCTAGACCACTAAGCCAGCATCAAAACGGTGTAAATATCTAACTTCAGTCAATCCATGATCTCATGCAACCCCTTACCCATTGCCGGTGGTGAGTAACTCTCTCACATCCGACATGGATAGGACTTCACTTGTCACGGCTTCTCACTAGAATTTATATACATCACTTCTATTTGAAGTTCGTGTTGATGATTTTCAGAAGAACAATGAAAGCTTCACAACTAAAACATCCAATTCATGGAAAAAGACCCACCAAAGTTTTTATGAATAACAGATTTCTATCATCAGTTAGAACAATACATCAGAGTCAGTAAATCCAATGAAACTTTTCGAAAGTGTATTAAATTAAAATACCTTGACGCATTATGAAAGAGTCATGCCATTACAAAGAACAAAATAAAACCTCCTCAATAAATGTTAAGCTTATCTTTACATTCAAACTGAATATTTCCAAAGATTATGGTAAGGATAAGAGCTCCTCATAGAACACCAAACTTGTATAATATACCTCATATTTCAAACACTCCAGTCAATAAGGATTCACATCGAAACACCTGTTTGTCTAAACTAGGTTTTAAATGCCACCTTTTAGAAGAAAGTCCTTTTTTCTTAGATACGATGGGTGGAACTGTAAAATAACATTTAATATTTTGACTGAATAGGTCTATGAAACATTTATCAGATAACTATACTCTAAAACTTAAACAGACTTTTATTTCCTTTTACTTATAGATCTGAATGAGAAAACATCATATTGAATGATGGCATGAATGATATCAAAAAATTCAAAGTAAAACTGAAAATAAAAAGAACAAAATATCTCACAGATGTTTTGTTCAACTACCGAAATTCCCAACAGTGTGTGCCTCTGATCCCACCAGTATTCTTAATGCTCCAGTATTTCATGGTAGCTTTAATCAATATGACGTAATAAGAGTCTAACCAGCTCAGTATGTAAGCTAAATAATTAAAAGTTACTTAGGTCTATTAAAAACAACATTTTTATGACAATCTAATGGCCACTTTTTATTCACAACAAGTTTGTTTAAAGACGGCGTTTAACTGGAAAACTATAGAAAACAATAGATCACTAGACACCTACTTCACTAAGGTGTGAAAACGTTCAGCTACCATTTTCCTAATCCTATGAGTGGGTTACATGTAGGACATGTAAATCCCTTATCACCAAACCTTTGGTGATTTTAGTAAGTGACTAAACCTCTTAGTGGTTTAACCACTAATAGCAAATGTAATGCCGTACTGAAGATTTCAACTACCGAATCTTGGAAAAACTACTAATAAAAAAGTGCTTTCTCCAAAATATAGAAATATAATCGAAATTACTTAAATGAAACATATCTCAAAACAGCCTGAACATTACAATTTTAAAATCTGTCTCTTGACCGTACTATAAATTTAGCTATTCGCTATAGATATCTTACGCAGTAGATGTGATTAAACACTACAACAAATGTATTTGTTCTAATTTAAAACGTAAATAGATGTATGATGTTTAAATTTATAAGTGGTTTTATTGTTGGGCTCCATACACTTATTGAGTTCAACATAATTTCACATTTAAATTATAGGGAAGGATGGCCTAAATTTACTAAAATTCCCACACGATTGTAGCCATACAATAAAGTAACTTGTAATTAATATTTGCGGAAATCTATCACTGAAAACTGTTTAGAAATGTTTAAATTTCTTGCGATATACGTTTATGTTTACCCTTGAACTTCGCCGAACAATGGCGCCTATATATATAATATATAATGTATATTATATAATATTATGTATATATAACAATAATGATGGTTTACTAACATATTACCGGAAGACAAAAATTGTAGTAAGATATGTTCAGTAGCTAATTCGTTGTTAAAATCTATTATTCCTAAAGGGCGTGGCACCAACTTATATGTCCTGGTGGTCGGTTTTAGTCACTATGTAATAAAATTACTAATTTTCAATATTTTATTATGCATCATTTATTCTGTTCATCTTACACTCAGGTCATAATGCTTTACACAATATACGAACATACATAAATAAGGTAAACTATTATAAACAGCCAAAAGCGTCTATTATCCATAATAATTTTTTAAAGAAAAAAAAACAAACATTTTAAGTGTAAACTAACTGATATAATTTGTAAAACTAAAATATATTCACATTCACAATAAGCCATGTTCATAGGTGAAGGAACCTTATAATATTTATAAAATGAATAGATCACACTTTAATCAGCATATATCTCTATTTACTTATCAATCAGGAAATTCCAGTTGTACACTAAAAATTTCATAGCTTAAGATAATGAGACATTTTCAAAACCTGACAATTTCTATAAGGTCTTTTTATGAAGTAGAATTTATATGTATCAAAAACTAGCTGAACTATAAGTGGTCTCTCACGTAATCAGCTGTTGGATTAATATTTATGAATTAATAGTTGTGTTTTAAGCATTTTATAGGTTATGATGGAGAAACTCTGGAAGAGATGAAAAGTTTCAACTAACTGGATAGCATCATCGATGAATGTGGAGAATCCGATGCAGACGTAAAGGCGAGGATCGGAAAAGCAAAGACAGCATTTCTACAAATGAAAACCATATGAAACTCAAAACAACTGTCAACCGATATCAAAGTCAGAATTTTCAATACGAACGTCGAAACAGTTCTACTGTATGGAGCTGGAACTTGAAGTACAACTACAACCATCATCAGAAGCATACAGGTATTTCTAAACAATTGTCTACACAAGACACTCAATGTCTGTTGGTCGGATACCATCGACAACAGTCCACTGTGGGAAAGAACAAACCAACTTCCATCTAAAGAGGAAATTATGAAAAGTCGTTGGAAATGTATGGGACACTCATTACGAAAATCATCAACCTGCATCACGAGGCAAGCACTAACATGGAATCTTGAAGGGAAACGCAAAAGAGGAGGGCCAAAGGACACACTGCGTTGGGAATTGGAAGCAGACGAATAGGATGAATAACAACTGGAAAGAAATGGAAGGGATTACTCGGGACAAGTTTGGATAGAGAATCCTGTTGAGCGGCCTACGCTACTCCATGAAGGGTGACAGGCGCAAGTAAGTAGATATGAAAATAATTCATTTTTCATCATATTTACAAATAATAATATCTCATTATCATAATGGGTTTTGTGGAGATTTTAGAAATTTCACTGGTTGAAATCATGTTTCAATTGAACCTAGACCACCATGGAAAACCTGGAAGCACTGGACGACCGTTCTGTCCTAGTATGCGACTCCTCAGCAGTGCGCATACACGATCCCACAATAGGACGAAAAGGTCATTCAGTGCTTCCAGGTTTTCCATGGTAGTCTAGCTTCAATTGACTCACGATTTTAACCAGTGAAATATTTTATTAATTAAACAGTAAACATTTTAAAACTGTCTTATTAAAATTTAAAACTCTACCATCATAGCAACAAATAAGTGTCATGTAAATTTGAACAATTAAAATAAATTTTATTGTATGGTTGTTTGAAATGAAACTATTCAAAATGTCAATGTCATTTATTGAATAGAAAGTAAACAAATGTTTATTTTCAGAAAGAGCTTTTGTGGATATTATAATAATTTAATAGTTTAATTCATGAGTGGCTCAATTCCATGGATCGATCAAAGTTAGACATTAACGGCATTTCGCTGTACACCTTACAAACCAGCCCAATCAGGCACATCGTGGTTGCTGGCTACATGCATCGAAAAAAATATACATTATTCAGATGTCGAGTCCTGAACTGCTAAAATCTACCTGATTACCACTCAATATTTATCGCAAGGATCGATCAAGAAAGGAGATAAGGAAACTTGATGAAACAATTTGTGCTGAGAATTCTATATTGTACCAAAAGTATATAATTGAATGAAGACAATAATAATTATATCACGTAATTGGGATGAAGGACAACAGTTATGTAAAATTTCATGGTAAATATAAGATAAAAGAACAGCCTTAATAGATGCTCCAATCTTCAAAATCTATACAAATCCAGCCTATATTCTATGTTGTGTGTTAGCTTAGAAATTACTAAACCCAGAATTATATGAACTTGAAAGAAATTTCCATAAGAATAAAAAAATGAAGAAATACTCTTACTTACAGTCGAAAACTTTCATTCCAAACAGGATTTAATGTTTGCTCTTTGACCTGAGTTGATTTCATTATTCCAACTGGAATATGTCCTTCTTTATTAACTACAGATTTAGACGATGTAGCACCAGCCATTTTAAATGATTCATTATGAGATGTTTGTAGTTTCTCACTTTGGTTTGTTCGCTTATTAAGAGATTGACTAAAACGCCGAAATGATGAACGCGTAAACGTAACACGATTGTTATCGAAACCCTTTTTTCCTGAAGCGTTTCGCATTGTTTGTACAGTTTCTAAATCATTTTGACTAGATGTAGCAGTTGTAGTCTTTATAGATGAATCAGGAGTTGTAGATTTCTCATTCTGACCCACATAACGTCCAAATATTATTCCTAGAATACAATAAGGATCACTGAATCCTACAAAAACACAATAACAGAATAATTATATTATTTTAAATTAATTAGTCGTAATTATTAAGCACACATCAAAAGGTTATTTTATAATCAGTTTAGAAAACACCGTTGTGTAACGGATGATCCATAGATCTTAATTATACGAAAGAAAAATACCTATCTGTATTTAAAAACAAAAAATTGAGTGATATTCTACATGAATTCAATAATTTACAAAACTCAAGTATTTCTACATAAATTTGGAGATGAACAGAATTTCATTTCTTTGGCGCTTTGCTGAGACTCCTCTCAGCAAAGATTAATCATATTGATAGCTAGATGAAACGGACAGTACACACATTTCTGTGATTTATTCCTTTGACTAAAGCGCAAAAATTAGCTTACTCTCTATCCTCGGCAATATGACTAATTTACCCTGAAGATAATGTCGAGGACAAATTGGATAAAACTCTATAGATGCTTTCAAAAATTTCTATCCTTTTAAGTTCAATGCATGTTTGTCCATAAGCGAGTCTAAAACTACTGGTTGACCTATTTCTAAATACTTAACCAACTCTAGTTATTTAGTTGTTCGATATTATGATTTAAAAGTACTTTAATGCAGAATTGTTTAAAAAACAGAAACATGGTCAATTCACCATTTCAGTTCACATTTCCGAATCTATGCATTCAAAAATATTTGCAGGCCTCCATTTAATCTAAGTTTTAAAAAAACAGTAATTAATCTCTCCCAATTTTAAAAGACCTACACATCAGAATTCCTTTATCCATTGTTCACTAGCTATTCTGTAGTGTGTGCTATTGACGTCGACAGATATAAGTAGTATGTATCATCAGTCGAAAACGGAATGCCTGGAAGCAGAATGTTGAGAAAATCGAAGAGAAGAAAACGAAAACAGTGAGTTATTGACATAGAATGGAGGCAACAATGAACTCTGAGAGAATTGGTGGATATTTTGCAAATAACGTATTTACTATATGGTTCACAGATGTTGCCAAGATATTCTGCAATGTCGTATTGAAATATATTTGGTTGCTCCCACTGATATTCTTGTTCAGTACAACTTCACTAGCAAAATTAATTTCATAGAAATTATTTATCCAAGAAAATCTCGGTCGAAGGTCATCTTTGTCATAGCTCAGGTGTCTATGTGTGTATTAAACACCAAGTAATCATATGTTAATGTTTTCTTTTATTAAGACTAAATGTATGACTACTGTTGATTTATATAAGTAATTTTATTTGTTTGTATCATATGACCTCTGCAAATGACAATCCAATTAAATTTGATTGCTTCTTGCCTTCAATTTTGTTTTCATGGAATTGATAAATTCAATAGGTTTGGAATTATGACAAGTTGTTTGTTGAATAAACAAATAGAAACTAATGCAATGAAATAAATGACGGTAAGTCTAAATTTAAACAAGCTATGTATAGTCAATGAGTTTATTTACTTTCAAGAGGTTCAAAATTTTAATCGTCATATTATAGACCAATGGTTCTTTAACAGCGAAATGAATAATCCTGATGGTTTAAATTCTCTACAGAAAGTGAATACGAAACTGTGACACCTGAATTCTAACTTTTTGTTTTTATTTTTAGCTGGTACTTTCCTATATGAATACAACTGATGTTACCATTTATGCTCAGACTATTTATCATTATTTCAACTTGGGTTTCTGCATCAATTATGATGTCCAAAGTTCAATAACTCTTCAAAACATACTTACAAAGCTGAATATCTTCTACATTTGTAGTTTACAATATATGTGATACATTATTTCATAATGAGACTTATCCTAAATTTTAAGTCATTCCTTTGGCGTTACATTTTCTGTCGTTTCTATACCTTGTAAAACGTTTTATTCGATATTGACAATTCCAATTTCTTGCGTAAAAACTAATGTACCTTTCAGTTTCCACAACTAATTTGCATGTTAAGACATTAAGTAGCATGTTCACTGGCGCTGAGTATAGTTGAACTCTATTTATCATATACTTCAATTTGTTACCATTTTTTACAACTATTATTCTTAATCAAATGATAAAGTCGCAAATTTTTCATTAAACGTTTATGGATATTACACCAGTATTTTTAGTGTGAAGTAAATCTTGTTTATTGTGCTTTAATGTTCTACTGCTACTGGTTCTGTGGTTTATGCTATTTAGGTCGAAAGGCATAAGTTGTATGTAACACCAATCAGAAATGATAAAACCTGACAGCAGATGATTAAGAAGATTAAGTTCAAGATAATAGTATGAAAAATAGAAAGGAATGTAGGCTATAATAATTGAATCATTTATTATTCTCATTTGTTTATTTCTTTAAAAGTTATCCCTCCTAACAAATAGATATTACACTCTGTACTATGCCATGAATACATACAATTTAGGTAGACACTGTTATAGTGAACAAGTACACGAGTGAGGACAACCGAATGTATTTTGAGCACGAAATTACAGAATATCTCACTGAAAGCGGAGAACCATACATTAAATACTCCATTTGCAAAATACTAATCCATTGTCTCAAACTTGACTGTTCCTTTTGCAAATATCAGTCCGTCGTCACAGATTTCATTGCTCCTGAATTTCAAACGAATTGCCTTCCGTTTCCGTTCTTTCTTTCTCGATGTTCTACTGAAATACACTCTATTCCTGACTATCCTTATGTACTACTTATGTGAATATAAGTAGCTCACACCAAACTATTAGTTCATATGCTAAACATTTTAAAACATACTGTGTAATTTTGAACAAATTAATTTCGGATTTTCAACAAATTAAACAACTATTCATAAAAATACTTGAAAGCTACTTGAATAATTGAATGTGAAATACATATATGATCATAGGGATTTTTCATCTTTTCTTTCGATATCTTTCCCATTATTAAATGTACTACAGCCAGACAAGCTTAAAAACATTCAACCCATCGAATCGTTTAGTGTTTGTTTTCGTAATGAATAAAGATTGCTTTTTGAAAGAAAAAAGCTAGGAAAAAAATTGGAAACGCCCAAAAGTTGAACTCTGAACAATAGCCAACATGTACTTATGTAAATGCATGATAGAAAGTTATCGATCACTGGAGGCTGGTTGATCACATTGTCTTTACTGAACTGAGTAAGTATATGCAGAAAAGAAGAAATTTTTATCCGATAAAGATGTTTTCTGTATATTAGCTAAAGCTTCTATGTACAGTTGTCATTTTTAGGTTCAAAACAGTGTAAAGAACTTTCCTATGAATTTATTCACAATAATTATTATTAAAATATCTTGGTGTTTTCCTCATTAAACATGAAACTGAATACAGTAGATGAAAACATTTACTATTTTTCGCCGTATAATACTACTGGTTACTTGTCTTAGTTATATATATATATAGCAAGAATATGCTCAGTCAACTGATCAGTAAGTCAGTTTTCGGTCTCATCATACAATTTGTTTTAATGTTCACTAAACTTGTCATCTACAAAGGACATGAAAAATATCAATTTGATCTGCTCAAATATCTTTTTACTAGCTCTTAGCAGTTGTAAACTACAAGTTGTATTGTTAATAATAACAACAAGCGAGTGAATGTCTAAAACGTAGTCTTTTAGTAATTCAAAAAATCCCATTGAAATCAAATTTCGTGCTTGATGAAAGCTAAAATGATAACCACTGGAACCTAGGGTAATAATCACCAAGCCAGGGTACATGCAGTCCAGCAAGAAGCCAGGTGCATGTATCATCAAGAAAGCTAAAATAACAAACTTACATAAATAACAAGTAAAACTGATATAATTAATGAATAAAATGTGGATTAACATTTAATGGAACGAATAATGCAAATTAAAATAACTACAATCAGTTAAAACCATTAAATTAGTAAATTCATTGTTGTATAACCAAGATAAACAACATAATTAAAAGTAATGTAGATCTTCATTAACCTTCTTTCGAATACAAATATCATGCTAGAAGTAGTTAATTTTAATATAAACTTTGTCTTATAACATGATTGTTGTTAATTTTATTCTGTGTTCATTAGATATGTCTAGAAAATCAAATACATTATCTACTTTGAGTTTTGTTATCTTAATCATTATGATAAAAAGAATATACTAATTAAGTAGTATTAAGGTTTTTTCAATTATCAGTTTATTTCGTATATTGAGGTGACACTAGACTCATGAAAAATCGTGGATTAGTGTATGATATGATGGGAAGGAAAGTTAAAATTAGGTTGATTTCTTCATTATGATTTTTTATTCAACATTACTTCCGTTTTGTTAATTCAATGTGATAATTATTTAGTGTAACATTGGGTTTCGTTTTCCAGTGTGATCTTTTATTCTGTATAGTATACGATATTCTTGTATTCAATTGACATGAACTATGCCCAGTATGTGGTTTGTTATAACTGAGTATTTTTCGTCCTGATTATTAATCAAAATGGGTGTGCGAATCAATATATAAATGAGTGTATTTTCGACTGGAGTCGTCGTCGTGTTTTGATGGTTAATAAATCATCACTTATACCAGTTTTTGTATTTTTACTTTCGCGTCGTTGGAATTTGCAGAGGTCCCTCGGTTCGAGTATCAGTGATAAGTGATTCTGACATAACAATCAGTGACGGCCAGATATAACAGGTAGCGTCCAATCGATAAGACATATCAGTATACCGTTTGGCCTTTGGTTGATTCTACTTGATACGTTATCCTACTGAATTATATGCCTATATGATAACAGAGTGAATACACTATATTTTTACCTTGTCCATTATCTATCTGTGCTATGTTTGAAGCGATTACGGGTTCACCTAGTCTGTGAACGGAACAAAGACTCTGTGACCAAACACCAATAAGTTAGTTATTCTGATGCGTCCCAGCCCCGCTAACTAGAGTGAGAAGTCCAAGTTCGAAACGATGGAATATATGCCGAAAGCAGCCAGGAACACAAACAATTACGACACATAATGAGTAAATCAATCTAATTTTGACTTCTCATCCCGTCATAACAATCTAATAACTTGATTATAAAAACTTAATTTTGCATTAGTTTGTCAACAAATTCATATTTTCCACTGAAAAATAAATCAAGCACAAAAATCTGTTTAATCATTAAGAAAAATACTCACCATTTAAATCTTTAGCTTCCAAGTTTTTAGCTTCAATAACTGAAACATTCAAAACTACGACAGGTGGCTACAAATAATATTCAAATAAAACAATGTATAGTATGAAAATATGCACTGAGGTAGCTTTTAAGTAAGAAATACATTATAGTACACTTGACAATATAATTTTAGTATAATAAAATACAAAAACAAATTATTTATCCCTTCAACCACTCATTATTTTCATTATATCATAGTTTCTAATGCAAATATAGGTTGCTTTCCTAATTACCATGCTACGTAATTATCTTTCTGCATATTATTTTTCGATAATGCCATGAGAAGACGAAGTTTATCAGAATCATGTAATACATTTTCACAATACATTTCGAACAATCTGATCACATGTAATATACTTGTTATAACATTTTTACATGAAAATTAAAAGGTCAACTAGATAGATTAAAGGTAAGCCGTAACAAAAAAAGAAATAATAATAAAGTACACAAAAACAATATCATTACCACTCTGGATAATAGGTCGGTATTACCAGGGTAGGTTAAGTGTAAGGACAAATTGTTTTTGAACCCACAAAGGAGGTTTTAGTTTCTGTATAGCCGAGGCTTCAATAAACCTTACTATACGTCCTTGAAGGCTTTTGTATAACACTACAAATGCTGATTTTATATCAACCTTATGACCATTTTCAATCAAATGTTTCGCAATGGAGAATGATATCTGTCTATCCTGTGATTTTATTTGACAGTTGGAATTCATTTGCTTCTGCAGTCATTTTAATATTTGGTCACCCATGCATGTTATTTATTAAATTTTTTTGTAAACTGTATAGCGCTAAACATTATTAAAGTCACAAATTTTAGTACGAATTTTCAAATTGGTATACTGTAGTGTGTGCTACTGATGTCGACAGACATAAGTAGTATGTATCATCAATCGAAAGTGAAATACCTAGGGGCAAAAGGTTAAGAAGATTGAAGAAAAGAGAATGAGAACAGAGAATGATTGTTGTGGGAATGAAGAAATAGTGAAGTTTGAGACGACTGATTGACATTTTACAAATTAAGTATTCAATGTATGGTTCTCAGATTTTACTAAGATGTTCTATAATTTTGTGTTCAAATACATTCGACTATCCCCTACTTCTGTTCTCGTTCGCTACAATACTACCATATTCCAGCTTACTCTGAAGGATACTGTATCAAGGACTTAAAGTCTGTTCATAACTATATTGATAACACTACTTAGTTCAACAAAATGAAATATATACATTAGACGTATTTCTCTTTTATAAAGAAACTGATTGTATTTTTAAGCTTTTTGTATTAAAGCTTATAATAATCATTTAAATCATTTTTGATGATTTTTCTTATATATCCAGTTTTATTAAGATGTAGAAAATCAAGATATAAGCCACCATTGAATATTAATGAGAAGGGGGTTTTGTGAAACTTTTTAGTAATTTAATAGTTAAAATCATGAGTCAATTAAAGCCAGATCACTGTGAAAAACGTGGAATGCCGGCCCGGTGGTTTACAGGTCAAGCGTTTGTGTGCGAAAACGACAGACCCTGGGTTTTAATCTCGTGAGCGGGATCGCGGAGTCTCATGCTAGCACGGAACAGCAGTCCAGTGCTTCCAGGTTTTCCATGGTGGTCTAGCTTTCATTGATTTATGATTTCAACTATTAAATTACCATTGAATGGTTAGTTTATGTCCAATTTATACTATTAATTTATTTCAAATCGTTTTGCAAGATCTAATGTTTTACTAATATTTTATTCATTAATCAAGGACCTAGTATAGTGAACGATAACACAAGTGGGGGACAATCGAATGTATTTCAACACAAAATTACATAACATCTTAGTAAAATCTGAGAACCATAGAGTAAATACTTGATTTGCAAAATATCAAACAATTGTTTCAAAACTGACTGTTCCTTTTGCAAATAATAATCAGTCGTCTCAAACTTCATTGTCCCTTCATTTTCATATCAATTACTTACTGTTCCCATTTTTTCCTTCTCGACCTTCTACTGCTAGGTATTCTAACCCTGACTACTGTTATGTACTACTCATATCAACATAAGTAATACACACCACACTAGTATTAAATTCATTAAACTTTTAATTATATATCATATGTTCAAACCTTAGTTGTTGAAAGGTATCACTAGTAAATAGGCAAAGAGTTACTAATACAAATAAATATCAAATAAACTAACAGTGAATTCATGACATTTAATTTTGGATTCCTTTAAATGAATTTTCCAGTAAATGAATATTTCATTTTGTTTTCAAAATAAATAAAATTTAGATAAAGTTTTAAATTCAACCCATAATAAGCCATTTCGTATTCGCATCATTTAACGATAACTATTCCCATAATTATGTATTTTACAACTATTCATTTGTTTGTTTAAATTACAGTCTTAATAATTCAATTATATATATGTACATATTGAAATATTGAATATTGAATAATGCCTAGTTAAGGTGTACTCATGTTTTACAAATTTAATTATTACTTAAATTTTTCTGTTTGCTAGATCCCTTTCCTTTTTTTGGTCCTTTTTTGTTTTATTTCTTAACATATCATTTACTTAATTATGATTATGCTTGAATAAACAGTTAATTTTTTCCTTTGTTGTTGTTGTTCCTTATTTCTTTTCAACTATTCATTATAATCATAGTTTATCTGTTTTAAACACACATTTAATAATCATTTATAATCAGATTTATTCCGTTACATGTTTTTTGGTATTGAATAGTGAAACTTTTTTAAATAAGAACTAAGGAAGTTTTCAATAGTTGAACTCATGGGCTCATTGAAACTAGATCACTGTGGAAAACCTGAAAACACCGGACGACTGTTTTTTGTATTGTGGAACTCGTCAGTGGTTTGCATTTACAATCCCATCTCTCAAAATTCTAATTCAGGACTGATAGGTTCTGGTTTTATAGAAAACCAAATTTATTTACTCTTTAGTCACTAAATGAAACGTTTATATCTTACTCCGTGCTGATTTACTTTTAGAAACTACACTTTGACATTATATGACCTGATATGTATTGAGAGAGTTGTTAAAGGGGTATTTTTCAATCTGATGTCTGAATGATGAAGTATTATGTAAATGTATATTATTTATTATGTAAATGGTTCACTATTTTTTATCTGTAATGAAATCATGTTGGAACAAGTGAAACAGACTTTATAGTTGATGCATTATTGTGATTTGTTTATCAGAACACACTTCATACCAGAGTTGAGCAATATACAAAGTAGCCTTTCAATTTTCAGAAATGTGTTTATTAATTACCGGGATGCGGTCATATAGACAATATCAGTCGGTTAAATATGATAAGATAAGGATTGTTTATTGTTTGATAAAGTATGAATGCAGTGTGACGATTAAGAGCCTAAAGAAATCAAACATTGTTAATGTCAGACACTTGGTGTGCATTGCCATAGTTGTCAAAATTTATATACCCTAGTTGTCTGTTTTATTCAGTAAGAGTTTTGTACATTCTGAACAAGATATCTGAAATTATTCCTCATCTTTTGCGTTCATCACTATATTGTAAAGCATTCACAGAACAAAATACCCTAAAATAGTCTTTCTGTTCAAAAGTTACATTCCACAATTCAGCTTATATCTAAACGTTTACTGGCTATTTATATATACTCAGCGAGATAGTGTGTAATGTAATTCGTGAAGAAAACCACTTGTACTTTTTCGTTATACTATAAGTGGAATTCATGATAAGCATTACAAATCAATTCAGCTATCTATTCTTGGTATTTTAAGGGAACACTTATATTCCCTACATTCCGTATTATTTCAAGAAAAATAAATTATTATGAGATACGAAATGAGACAGTTTCAAATGGATAAGAGATGAATATATCAATTATGACTAGCAATGTTAAAACATATAATAGATTTCCTTTACTGCAGTCGAACTCTGTAACCTATCAACGTCATATATATATATATATATATATATATATATATATATATATATATATATATAATCCTGTATAGATTAGATAAAAATAATAAAAATTTGTAAAACAAAAAGTTAGAACCTTACTATATTTCAATAATCTAGTAATGTATTTGAAGTAGTAGTATGATCTCAACATAAATCAATAAACATTCTTCCAACTAATTACAAATTAAGGTTGGTTATAAAAACTTTTGTGAAACCTGAAACAGCGTTTTCTTGTTATCTAACATTATATTCCATAAGTCCTTGAACTATATCTTTTGTCAGTTAAACTAACACAAACGTTATAAGTTATTGATTTGTTTCAGTGTAAACATAAGTCCACTAAAAACTGGAATACCGAAATATATTTATTTGCTGAAATAAATATTTACCACGTAAGCTGAACAAAATCTCAATGAACTCTAACTAACCGACTAGCCCCCAATTTTAAATGTGACACGAGTTATTAAGTCATATAACGTATGTAAAGAAGATGGTAAATTACTTATACATTTGCAGGTTTCGTATTCTATATATCATTTTCATCACTGATCGTTTACCGTTCACATCAACTGATAATGTCAGTTACAAAATTGGCGATATAATCGTGTTAGACCACTCAGTCACAACGTTTGGCATATGTATTGTGCTGTGAAATATTTGAGCTAACTTTATTGGTTTGCCCGTCTTATGATACTAGGAATATCCTCCAATTAGGAAGAAAAGCAGAATTTGAGAAATTTTTCTATTCTCCCTTAAGTTACATACGTGAATAGATATTATAAAATGAGCCTTTGTTATTATTTACTGAATGGAATATTGCTCTATAAAACGGATGCGTTAATTAGAGTGCTTTTTACACACCCTTTGCTTTACAAGCTTTCTACCTACATTCTATGTATCGTCGTCGATATACTGCGCACACAGACCAAAATCTGAAGAAAAAGAAAACGTTTGTCCTCCAGCTTTGAGCTAAAACCCACAGTTCATGCATTCAAAATGTATAAGTATCACCTTATTTCCCAAAAGGCTAACTAGTCACCTGAATAATTGTTTTACCATTCATTACTTCATCTTTATCTTCTGCTAGAAAGTTTGTATGATACTTGTGTTGAATTAAATGAATACACAAACTAACGAGTGAGTTTCATAATGTGGATAGTATTTCCGTAGGAATAGCTCTTTATCATAGAATTAAAAACTGTAACTGATAAGTTTACGCTGAATTGAAACTACTTTTTAGATCTTAAAAATTATGTTGCAATTATGTTCCTGAAATATTACCTAACATGTGAAAAAACTCCACAAGCATAAGTTGATAAACTCTGCAGACTAAAGGATGATTCATCCTATTAGTCTATCTGTATATAATACATTTTAATAATATTGAGAGATACCAAGTTAACTAGAGTAAAACGTGAATTAAAAATTCCAATGCAATAACGTGGAACGTGTTTGAAAGATGTACGGAACTCTACTTCAGCCATTGTTTAAACTAATCTGTAATATTATATGGTAATTTGTCTAAAGTCTCAAGAAATAAGTGCCACAGTTTTGTTTAAATTCTAAAGACAACAGTTTTACACCGCTTTTAATCTGAAGGCAAATTCACCATCATTTTGGAGTAGTCAAGACAGTTTGGTGTTCTTATTTCATTCTTAGGTTGTCAATAACTATTTACTCTAACTTCAAGGCTAACGCAGGTTAATGAACATCAACTTAATACACCCCTTAGCTTCAACGAAAACGTATAAATCCCAACAAATAGTAGACTACCAACCGAACGTCTTTGCAGTTATCTGCGATAAGTACCCAGGGTGACCACTAGCAGTTTATCAAAGCGATTAGGGTAACGTCTATTTTACAGTGTTGGTGTTAACGGCTGAATGCAGAGTTATCAAATTAAAGGGTATTGATAAGAGAAAACGAGCGCTTTTGAATCTAGCTCTAGTCATTATCTACATAGTATGCTTTGGTGTGATGGAAGATGTTTTAAGTTTTGTCGATGGAAAATGACAGGATGCTGAAACGGTCTATTTGCAAGTGATAGATAAAGTTCATAAATATTTGGTAAACTGACAGCTTGATAGTTGACTTACTATGTCAAACCGTGACTTATTTTTTATTTTGCTTCAATTAAATAATCAAACATATTGTGTCTAGATGATGTATGGATTAGGTACTTAACTGGTTTAAAACTCATAACAAGGTGTTTGATAATCACACCACTTGTTTAAATTAAATGGGGTTTGATTATTAAAACTATGAATTATTGTTCATCTGACACGTTTTGAACAGCTTTTACAGGAAAATTGAATGATTAATTTCCCAATTTTACCACTATCCACTTATCAGTAGTCGTTTTTGTCGAAAATACCTATTTTACACATTTAGCTTTAAATAACGTTCCTTGGGTCAGGCAACCTGAACTGCCTTATTCTAAATTTAGGATTAAAGACAATCACTCAATGTCTGTATAAGAAACTATGTCCGACTAAATGTTCGATTTTATGGCAAAAGTAAGAGTCGTTTGATGTTTGTATGAACTAAGGATTTTTTGCACGTGATGACTGCCTGATTTCGAATTCCAAATACAATACGTTCATCTGTGTTCACCTAATTCTTTGTAGCCTGTATTTCGTTATTTCGGGAATCCCTAATTCGTACAGTAATTCAAATACTTTGCAATATTACAGGTCGTTCAAATTGCTTTATTCTTAATAATGGAATATAAGTATGTCAATGCGTTTTCAAAGTTTCGCCCAAATAACAACACCTAAACAAGTTAGGCAGGTAAAGACACTCTGTTGATTGACAGATTTTGAGAAGCCGGATGAGAAATTGACTTAATGAAACACTTATTCTGATTTAAGATTTTACTTAATCTTAATCTGTTAACAAAAAACACCTGTATGTTTTAGCCCCTCAGAGCTCCTTATTGCCCAAATCTTCAGCAAAGAATCAAAATGGCAGCATTTAATTGCTCAAAGCTGGTCTGACATCAAACTATTTTTACTGTCAGATGAGAGAAAGCTGTAGCTGATAGAGTAACGCATCCAGTTAAAAATTTGGCCTCTTAAAATATTGTTTGTATGGGATAGAAATTGAAACCATATGATAACGACCTCAAAAATGCTTAATAAAGTCATAAAACCCGACAGAAAAAGTGGCACTAGACTGAGAGATCCTAAGTGACGTTTACCACAACTACGCCATAACACTCTCAGAATCTCCAAAAATATTCTTTTAAAACTTTCACCATCAAAAAGAACTGTTACATATTTTAAATTTTGACAGACTTAAAACGTAACAGTGCTTATATACCATAAATATATTACCATTCATTTGTCAGCTTATAAAACCTCTGACAAAAGATAAAAACATCTTTCTAATATTAAACAAACGTATAACTTCCAAAACCTTTAAATATTCTTAAACTAACCTCAGCCTGACAAGCCTCCGTACGAAGATCGTCGTATATCTTTATAGGTAAGTCGAATACGTTTTTCACATATTGGTCAATGACTTCAGCACTACATGAGAATTTGCTGCTGGATTTCCCTATTTGATTCCTTATAGTGTACTGCACCCTGACAAACAAATACTCAACCTGAAAGAATGAAGATCGAAATTTATGGGTTACATCAATTTCCTCCAAATCATCTTTGACGAGTTGAAATTCTTCAGGAATCTCAGGAGATAATAACTTGTGATTTAGATCAGTAACACTTTTCTCCAGCTCCTCACAGGATAAATTCTTGAACACTTTACAGTCAGACATGGAAGTTCTGCCTAAAATTTAATTATATTTGTCTACTACTTTCGTTCCACTATGATTATGTTTCTTCTCGATAGTATGAGAGCATTTTCATAAACGTTCTCTTTACCAAAGGCTAACAACTGAACGATTCAAACAATACAGAACGGTTGAGCTTTTCCGTGTTATATTACGAAAGTATACCCCCCTATATATACGATTTACAATATATAGCCTTTTTATTAAGAATTTCAACCTTACAGTTAGATGTGACCACAGTTCTCTCAGTGGACAACTTCAAGTGGAAGATCGATAGCCATGTACCATCTTCCTTTTGAAACAGTCATATGTGATGCATGTTTTAAAAACTATCATTACTAGCATTATAATTCCTACTGTTTTTGCGACAGTTGTCCTTATTATGAATGCTTCAACTATACCTGTGTTAATCACTATCATATCCATTTTTCTATCATTCTTGCACACATTATTTCCGTATTCGACGTATTTTGTCTGTTTAGTTGTTCCAGTCATTAGCTTTGTTTCTCTATATTCTAATCTTAAAATTTACGTGATGCGACTGAAAAACCTGTCTACTGATATTATAGCTGCTCTTTCCATGATCCCTACTGACTTAGAACAAACCTATTCATTTACACCTATAGCATATTAAATCCTAGCTATTGACTTAATCCACATGGACTAGTGTAGCTCAGTGGTTGGACGATATTGACGACTCGAAACTATGCTGTAACACCAAAAAGTAACCTCAAAGTTCGTACATAAGGCATATGACGTTAAGCATTATATGTGACTTTTCCCATAATTTGGTTAGAAAAAATACCTCAATTTGAACGTTTTAAATTGATAGACACCGGTTGAATGCTTTCGGTCCAATTACCTGTGTGTATGGGCGGTGAAATTCTACTGAGCCTAGATCAAGTCAACCGGCAGTGGGGCCAATGAATATCGTACAGTTCACCGATCCACGTCAAGGTCAAAAACGACCTATGCGCATCACTTAATCGCACGCCATTAACTGACCCATGCAGCGGTGTTCACGCTCTGTTCTTTGTACCTACTCCTACTAATATATTTCTGTAGTAACGTGGTTTGTGTTGTACGTTCATCAAAGCAGCCACAATATCCTGATGTGACCAAAGGGTAATCCACGCTAGTTACCAACCGTGAGGTGTGAATTCTACGTGAGCTGGTTTATCACTATTTCTGTCCAACTCAAATAGGCCTCCAACCATTCGAAACACATTGTCTACTCTAGTGATCTACATGTGTTTTCGCGGTATTTCAGCCCTCTTATAAATTAGTTTTAGACAAAAGCGTGCGATCAATAGTCTCAGTTTCCTTACATATCTTAAAAAACCAGTGATCTTCGTCTCGCAGACGGGCAGTTCAGCAGCTTCATAGCCCTCAAATTCAGAACACGATTATTCATCATACCTTTATTTTCAAATCACGAACGACCGAAATTGCCAGTCATACACAATACATTCTGTAAGAGAGAGAATACCTAAAAAATTCCTACAAGGTGTTTTATTGTATAGTATTTTTAGTTCTTTGTTCTCTCACTCTATCCTTTATCATAACTTCTACTCGGGCCTTTTGTAACCACGTTCGTTAATCTTCTATCTCTGACTTTCTATGACTTGACTTTGGCTAAAATTTGCCTCTAATATTTCGTTTCGCTGTTGTATGCTCCCGAGTCACTGATAATATGATAGTGTTTGACTGAACTTGAGACTCGATTGATGACTGCTGACTTTTAACTGCTTTCTGGAACGATAACTCGAATACCTGCATATGTATATTTGACTCCGTCTTGCTGGGGATACTACTATCGATTTTCAAGTACCGAACATTTATTTATTAACCATTCCTTCTGCTGTTTAACATTGTACATTGCTCTGGAGAAACCATTACAGCATAGCACAAGCTGTACTCTCTGAGGCATTTTACACTTTTGTTATACTTTCTCTCTGTGTGCGTCAATATCATATTTCGGACACCGTACGTCAAAATATTTTGTTCGATAAACCTCTTCTACCCTCCTTCACCCTTTCTGCTTACATTTTACAGCGTCGTCGTGAAACGACACCAAACATATGTATACGGGAGATGTAATTTCAAACCTCGTCTTCCATTTTACTCCTTACATCTCATAAAGGTTTATAGCTCACATTACTGGAAAATTAATATGGGAACTATCTGTAGGTTACATAAGCATCTTTACTGCACAACTATACATTTCCTGAAATATTTCGCACTGTAAACCGTTTTTTACCTTATTACCATTAGTTATTCACCACGATTTCTTAGTGACAACGCAGCGTCTAGTAAACTTGTCAAGGCTTATACTGAGCATTAAATTGTTACTGCCATTATTCATATTCATAGGAGCTCAGCAAGTGCCAAACTTAATATAGGAATACCTCACAAAGGTCCAAAAGAAAGCAGACAAAGTGAGAGCATTATCGAAATTCATGTTACTGACATTATCAGGAAATGTTTATCATAGTATTCTCGAACTGAACATAGGATCAAGTGGGCGCCTGTCTTCGAGGTCAGTAAGCCGACTGATCATGAATCGACCAAATCAGATGAAGTCTCTAAATGTATCAGCGTCATTCTCACCAGTATGCCTCGACATTCACGAGGGGAAACACAAGGTTTTGAACAACGCAGTGAGCGCAAATGAAATTACACCTTACGATAAAACTCTAAATAACGTTAGTTGCCTTCATACACCTGAGCAGCGCTATTGATAAAAAATGAAGATCTGGTGATTTGCAACCACAACCTTGAGGATGACACAGGTATTCAGTGTTTGACAACGCTTCTACCAGTAACACCTTCTAATATACTTTGTTCCCACCGAGAGAAATCAAAAGACAGAGTCGAGGAGATCGGAAGAGTGTATTTGGCGATAACCAATATATCGGGAATCTCTGATCTAATCTGGCTAGTGATTGCGGTTGATGTTGAGCACAGCGTTACAGCACGTGATCTGGTGCGGATGCATGACCGAGCGCCTTCAGCTAGATGAGTCCACTAAAACATATGGTCAGCATCCAATGTCGAAAACCTATAGAGCTATTTAGTTTGGGGATTTATTTACCGCTACAGATCACTCCCCTCCTAGTGGGGCAGTGATGACACTAAGACGTGGCCAGCCAGAAGTTTAAACCCAACGAGTTTGTCGTTGGTAAACACTCTTCTGATAGTTTACTAAATTTAGCAGCGTCTAGTCGTCTTTCCTTACTATATGGGATCGGGGTACAACATAGTAAAAAAAAAGAAATGTACAATGAAAATTTCGGATCCTCATAAACGTCATCGTTCTTTTCCAGCCGTCCTGGAAAAGAAGAAAGAAAATGTAAGTGCATGTCGAAAATACACTCGTATGTGCGTTAAAAAGGGAAAATAAACTCATGAACACGTAACAGCGTTTAAAAAAATCGTTTTTTTGTTTTTTTTTGAAATAGAAATGAAAATAAATAAGCCTATTAAAAAAAATTTTTTTAATAATATAGAAAATTTCGAGAAGTGCCTTACGTGCAATAGTCGTTTAAATGTTCTGGAAATCTCACTCTTCTTCCAGAACGCGTCGTTTTAAGTTTATTTTCGGATACTGTCGAAGTATCATCGTGTGTGTTGGTTGTCGGATGAGGCATTATAAGTGTCGAAGTCGTGTCGTTCATTTGTACCGAAGGAAAATCCACGTAGATAGGATTTCCTTCTAAATACGCTCTTTTGAGGCGATCGATTCTGATGCTATCGTTGGTTCCGTTCTTATCGATTATATAGTACTTCGGTTCGCGTTGAAGAACTTTGAAAGGTCCTTCGTATGCTGATTCGAAAGGTCGTCGATGCGAGTCTCGACGAACGAAAACGTGTGTACTATATCGTAAGTCAGGTTGAATGAAAACATCAGTTGATTGAGGTCGAGTGGAAGCAGGTTTAACTGAACGCATTGCGTTTGTAAGCCTGTTCGTGTAGGAGGTTAGATGCATGCTCATTGAAGAGGATGAAGGATCCACGAATTCTCCTGGAAGTCGAAGTGTCGTTCCATAAACGTGTTGAGCCGCAGTGTATTCAATGTCAGCTTTCACTGCATTGCGGATACCTAGTAGGACGAGTGGAAGAGCGTCTGTCCACTGTGAAACGTTTGCAGCTGATAGTGATGCTTTTAGTTGTCGAAGAAAACGTTCTACCAACTCGTTTGATTGTGAGTGGTAGGCGGTCGTTCGGAAGCGAGTGCTTCCTAATAGTGTGGTCAGACGACGGAAATGTTCAGACTCAAACTGACGTCCGCGGTCTGTAGTGATGGTTGAAGGGCAACCGAAGTTTGCTACCCATCGTTCGACGAAGGTGCGGGCCACTGTTTCAGCAGTGATGTCCTTGATAGCTACTGCTTCTGGCCATCGAGTGAAACGATCTACACAGGTTAAAAGGTAAGAGTATCCATTTGAATCTGGTAAAGGTCCTACCAAATCCAGATGAACATGGTCGAAACGAGCATCGGGAGTTTTAAATGAGCCTAAGGGACATTTATTGTGTCTGATGACCTTGGATTTTTGGCAGCTTACACAGGAGCGTGCCCACTCCCTCACGTCTTTATTCATACCAGGCCAGCAAAACCGTTCTGCTATGAGCTTGATGGTTGCACGAACACCTGGATGAGAAAGTTTGTGCAATGTGTTGAATACATTGCGTCGATAATGTTTCGGCACGATTGGGCGATCCCTACCTGTAGATGTGCCACAAAGTAAGGTTTCCTTACCTGTTTCCATCTGATTGATGCGTAGTTTAAGGGTTGTGGACGATAACTCTTGCTGAAGATCAGTGTCTTCTTTTTGAAGCTGGGTGAATTTAAGAAGGTCGATTCCTTGGAAACTGTTCAAGGAATTTATTCGAGACAAGGCGTCTGCAACTACATTGTTTGCTCCAGAAATATGTTGAATATCTGAAGTAAACTGCGAAATATAGTCCAGTTGTCGAGACTCACGGAGAGAGTACTTGTCTAAAGAGGAGCTTAATGAGAAAGTGAGCGGTTTATGGTCAGTGAATAGAGTGAATTCACGGCCTTCGATATAGTGTTGAAAATGCCGTACAGCACAATGCATAGCTAGGA